TTTTTTAATTATCTTACATATAATCTTTACATGTGTATGCCAGGTGTCCACTAATTGGTTTAACTTTCCTTATGAATACAGGAAATATGTTTCCCAATGGGGAGTGGGAATAAGTTGGACAAGTGAAGAATTAACGAAAATGGCTACTTGAAAATAGCAATTTTAAAATGAAAATCAAGATGAACAGCGTAAGATGGCGTGGCATATTTCAGTTGAATGTGCTCATCTATTTGACGCTAAAATTATACGATATAAAAACAATATATTATAAATAAAATACAACAACATATTACAATTACTGTGTTAAAGCACAACGAAACAGTGGCATAACTAAATGCAATTAAGTGTGTAATATTGTCAACAATAATGTGAAGTATTTGGGCATAATAAAAACATAAAAGGCGTTGAAATTTGCTGACAATTATTTACTTAAACTGACGATGCAACGTTACACATCGCGATGGACCACTGACAGGGTATAAAGTTTGTATTTGAAAGTATAAGGGTACATATGTTTATAAAAGCACATAACATCAAAAAATTATTCATGAGAACCTTTTTTTCAATAAATTTAATCCTGTCGTTGTAAAGTTACGCTAATTACTATTAGTAATGAAGGGAAATCAAACATTAAAAGTGATTTTTGTGTCAGAAAAAGAAGGAAAAGGTTAAAGAAAGTCATTAACAGTTTATGTGATTGGTTAACTTCATAACATAATATAATTTAAATTTCGTTCTACTATTTCTCGCATGATGACTGAGTTTTGGATATGAATCTAGTATGAGTATTGCAAATACTATTTTTGCTAATTTTAGTTAAAAAAAAGGCTATTAGACATTGCCTAACAAGGTTGTGTTCTAAGGTAAAGTCAACATAAGTATGGAAAACTGGAAATCACGTTATAAACAATTTAAAGAACACAATAAAAATATTATAATATAGTATAAATACTTGTAAAATTGTATGAAGAGGGAGTGGTAAATAAGTGATTGAAGACTCCATAACATCGTTGTCGTTACAACACTTTTTTCAAAATTGGACACTTTTAAACATTTAACAAGAGCTTTGAAATATGTATATGTAAAAAGGTGAAAAGTGTGTTAAAGTACGTTGCGTGGAAATGAAGAACAAATTAATAAAACCAATTTTGTAATAAATTGCTGTAACTATGCGTACATCTTATTAATACACATGCATACGAATAATTCACTATTTTGAGGGTGTTGGTACATTTAATTTGAAACATTTCAACTTGCATTACGCGTTGCAAGCTCATCAAAAGCAAGATTCATTTTCAGAAATCTTGACTTCAGAAGGCTGGGACTGAAGATTAATGGCGACGGAAATACCCGTTCACTTTGCCAAGTAAAACATAGAAAATAAGATTAAAAATGTCGGGAGGGATCGGTCTTTGATGTACTTCTACACTCTGGTGTCATGTAAACATTGTATGAGGCGCCTGTAATGTGATATGAAAATGTGGACATCAGTTTTTAAGAAGTAGGTGTCTTAATAAAGGCTGTTCGGCTTATATGAATAAGTCGGGCAAAAGGTTAATGGTTAAGCTTTGAGCTTAAAATAACATGGGCTTTAAGTCTTAACGGTTATTAAAACAAACGGCCATCATAAAAGACATAGTGGTAATATTTATTGCCGAAAAAAATCAAAAATACTTTGGTGTATTACTATGGCAAAAAAGAAAATACAGGCCGAAAACCAATACCATTAAATTTATTTGCAGATTAATTCCAATAAATTGCTGCAACGCTGCGTACATTTATTAATCGCACGTTTGTTGCAGGATAAAGATGAAGACTCTCGTATACACTTATTCCATGGGGAAAATTCTCTTTTAAATAGAATCTCAAGTTACAATACACGTTGTCAAGTTAATCAAAAGCATTCAACATGTGCAATAATCTTGTGTTCTTATGGCTGCGACTTAGGATTATTGGGGCGACGAAGAGACCCTTTCAATTTGCCAAGTAAAACATAGAAAAATAAGAACAAGATGTCGGAAAGCGATCGTCCTTTGCCGTACTTCTTCACAATTAAGAACTGTATATCAGGAAACAATTATAATAAAACCTGTTAGACAGCTGCTGATTGATTGAAAGCACATACTACCATCACAAAAGGCACAGTGGTAATATTTATTGACGAAAATATCAAAAATACTTTGGTGTATGACTATAGCAAAAATAATGGATCAAATATTAACTATTTTTGGGTGGTTTATTTTGAAAGATCAAAAAGGGATTTATGACAGATATTACAATATTGAAGGATTTTTTTGGAAAGATCGAAAAGATATTTATGACATTTATAAGATGTTTATTTCAAACAGAAAAGAATTCCTTGATAAAGATACACAGTGCAAAAACGTAGTGCTGATAGATTCAAAAAAATATTCTTTGGACAATTTCCTAAAACCCCTAAATACAAAGGTGAAGGATAATTTAGTCCATAAATGTAGGCCCTACAAAATATACAATATGAAAAATAAACTTTGTAAAAACTTTATATTAAAAACTGAAATGGCATAGCAATATGAAAATAAATATGCATCACTTGCCGTCTTAACTAACTGGTCAGTTTGTTAAAGAAAATTTGATTCCAATATATGTTAGCATTCGAACGAATTATCCGTACATTTATAATCAAGGGTTTCCCCTCCCCCCGCTCACAGACATGCATGCAATAAATGATATTTCGTTATGTATTCTGACATTTAAATAAGTATCTTTATCAGTTCTGAGAGGTACATGTGCTAGTTGGCTAAAGCAATTAATAATCAAAAGTAACACAGCACACAAATATAAAACTATATGTCATTAAATCAATAATAAATAGTAATTAGATAGATAATAACAAAATTACGAAGCTAAAATAACTGCATGTGACAATTACGACTACTAAAAGTATAATGATAATAAATAAAAAGATGTTTTCTTTTCAGTAATTTCCTAAAGTGGGTGACGCCCATAGTGCCAAAAATAATTAATAAATTAACTTACAGAACTGATTATTTAAAGCGATTTAAGATGTTTATGCCCATAAGGATAAACCTTCAATGCGCAGTTTTAACAAATTCAAATGGTACGGATGGAAGAAGAGAACTTTTTAAACTCGTTTATTAAAAAAAAAAGACCACTGCTCGTCACGTTACATAACAAGCACAATGGGTGATGGGTAGCCGACTTCTTCGGCGCAGCGAACCCTCGGCACAGCGAACCAGATCCTTTCGGCACAGCGAACCTTCGGCATAGCGAACCTTTGATTTTGGGGCTCCGGAAAAACTTAGCCGATTTTAGACCAATTTTCCGGTTTTGTCGGCACAGCGAACCCTCGGCACAGCGAACCCTCGGCACAGCGCGCTGACCCCGATGACCACAGAGGAAATGGCAGCAGTACTGTGGTAAAATCTTCCTGATTTGTAATGGATCCAGTTTAAATTGAAGGCCACAGGCAACATGTTAAGATAAGCCCTGACTGGAACCTAATAAATCATTTTTCAGGATTCATTGCTTTTATTGTTGTGTAAAGCAAAGACGGAGTTGGCTTCCTGTCGTGTATTTCCTCCTTTTTATGTAATAAATTGATTCAGTCAGTCAGTCAAGAAAGTTGCTCTGTTTTTTATAGAGAAAAATATTCAGAAACAGAAGATTGACAACAGTTAAGGTGTTTTATTTGTATATATTAAAAACAACAATTTTCGTGAAAAATTTTGTGTAGATTGTAGAAACTAGATTCATCTGTGCTAAAGACTGATAGCTGCCATAGCTCATCACTTCTTGAGAGCAATGCCATGTTGATAAATAGTTGGACTAATTCAGCAATTTATCATATCTTCCACCAAGAACGATTTCTTTAATCAAAGCGTGAATTATATAAGGCATACAGCTAAAACAAATAACTGCCACGAGTGTGCGTACACAATTTCTGCTTTTAAGAACTCTGCGGTTGTTCAATCCCCATGATATTTCCTCTTAACCGTTTAGGGTGAAGATTTCTCAATAATATATATTCCAGTATAAATGTTTTGACAGTTTTGCACCAGAATGGAAAGTCAGATATCTGTCAGTCCCACATTGGCCACTGAAACTAAATGAATGTACAGAATATTCACAGCAAAATAAACTAAAAACTGAAGATGAATTTATGGATTGTGAAGCCATCGCTGGCTAATCGTAATCTTTTTTGGAACACTATTGTTAGTTTTTCTGTGTATTTGAAATAAACATTTGACCGAAGTCCAGTGTTGGTAAGGACATGGTATTTTTTTTTAATGTCACATCGTGTCTGGTGGCATGGGGGAGGGGGTTAGAAAGTACTGACCTTACTTGAAAGGTCTGCTCTATATCAAAATTTGATAACTAGTAAACAGTCTCTATGCATGCCCTTTCTCATTTTGATTCAATCAGTTGGCTAAGAGGGTAAAAAAGGCCCACTTTTTCAGAAAAGAAAACCACCTCACTCCTTGCAAAATTGCTTTGTATAGTCCCAGCTGGTTCATTAAGCATTAAGTGTTTTTGGTGTAAGTAAGGTCTGATGTAAACACATCCAGGCCAAAGAAGCCTAAGTAGACATGTGACAGGCAACTGTCCTGATTATATCATGTAATTTCTAATGGCAATTATAGGCTAAAGACAACCAGCAGGCAATTAGCCCTATGCCCATAGACTGACTGTGTTTTATACTCACAGAGGACTTAATTAGAAATTCAGGTGTGCTGGGACTACGGTAATTATTCATAAAATTAAAACAGAATTGAAAATTAATGTTTCAAAATGTAGATACGTTAGATATTATAAATTTCAGAAAAAATATGTGCAGGTTGACAGATGTAACATCCTAGTAAGATTTTTTCTTGTTTTTGCTAGTATCTAAATGTGATGAATTCTGACAAAAAAGGGGAAGTGCGTGCGATATTAATGAGCTTTTACCCTATTGAAATATTCATCGGTGGGGTGGTGAAACTGAGAGGAGAGATGACTCTGATGGACATTGTGTAGGGGTAGGTTTAAAAAGAAGTCCCAAATCTGTGCTTTAAGTCTTGATTGCTAAAATCAGATCTACAGCCAACTGTGCAAAGTGGATCTGCAGCATTGGTTTAGGAGGATTACACAAACAGTCAGTAAAAATGCTGTTGTTTCCTAGTAATTGTCTTAATAACTGTGTAAAGCTGTGGACAGCTTTGATGGACATGATCACTGGCCAGTGTCACAACTTAAGCCTGAAAATTAGTCTTAATTTTGAGACTTAGGTCGCATTCACAACAGATGATCCTTGGATCTGCTGGTCCGTGAATCAAATATGGCGGACTCCACTTGAAAGCAAGGCTGCCTTGCCCCTTAATGGTCTTCCTGCCGCCCCTCCCCTTTCCTGGGGCCTAGCCCTCGAAGCTAAATTGAATCTGTGTGGAGACGAGGAGACCATTAAAGGATTAGGCGGTCTTGCTTTCATGAGGGGTCCACCATATTTGATACGCTGACTAGAAGATCGGAGGATCATCTGTTGTGAATGTGAACTTAGACTAAAAATAAAATCTGCTTTGACGTAAGGTAATCAGTGGAAGTTCTGTTAAATAAATTATTGGGTCTGTTTAATACCAAGAAAGACACTGTGTCAGACCCACATGTATGGGATAATTATGGTTTGATCTCGAACTGAAGTATATCAAATTTTTGTGTTAAAGTTCAGACCAAATTTTTGAACTAAACTAGTTCTTTTGAAGAAAGAAATGACGTCAAGAGGTCTATGATATCTGTTTTCAGGCTCAGGAAACTGAAATCCCTAGGAACAGATTATCTAACCACTCTGACAGCCTAGGGAATGCTTGCTGAATATGTTTAAGTAGGTGAATTATTCAGTCAGAATGTCATGTAGTGGGTTTAATATGTCTTCTATTAGGCGTTTAGGAGATTGCACGCTAGGTAATAATATATAAAGTGGTATATGGAAATTTGGCAAGCTAATGAAATTAATCTGGTAAAACGTATGCTTGCTGTACAAGTGTCTAATGCCTGTTGTAATAGCAACTTCTTTTGCTGATATTCACATTTATTGTGTATGTTTTGGCTGATGTTTGGGTGGGGCAGTGATACTGTGTATTTTTGTGCTGTGTGGGAGGGGCATATAGAGAAGCGGGGGCTCCTAAGATTTTGTGGTCAGTAAAAATATTTTTATAATTCATTTTGTTAAAGCTCAGTGTACTAGTAAATTAACCTTTTATGCAATGTGCATCATGCAATTTAATTTATCTCTGCCTAGTAAAATTTGATCCTGTAGAACTACTGTATTAGATGTCTGCGTGATTTGGCCGATGCATGCACTTTGAACATGATCATTATTGCATCTTTGTAAATGTCATCTGCTTTGTGTACATCTGCTTCACTAAGGAGGGGTAATCTATCTCTAAACCACTTAAAATTGGTCTGTTATTATCGACAAAACCAAATCAAGGCAGCAGGGCTAATATCTGCTTTGTACACGCTGAAGGATTTCATTTGTTTTGAATCTTGTTTGCGGATGAGGCATTGTCTCTTTCTAGCTTGTAAATATATTATAGAATATTTGCCAGTTGCAAAGGATAATCATGAATATTTGAAATGTTTATTTACTTATCTATATATCTGTCTACAGATTTCAAATTTGAATTAGCTCTACATACATTTATTTCAAATATATTACTTAATGATTTCAATTGGCACTAAATAGAAGTGAAAAAAAATTATAGTACAGTCAGACCACAGCTCACTGTGGGCTGACTCTCAGTTCTTATTCTGTGCGTATTGAAATTTAAAACATTTGGTGTTCTTTTTCCAAGAAATACTAACTTGATTGACCCCTGCATCCCCCTCCTCCCAGAGGAGAACATGTTTACAAACACTAAGAATAATGAATACACGAGAGAGAGAGAGAGAGAGAGAGAGAGAGAGAGAGAGAGAGAGAGAGAGAGAGAGAGTTGTAATCAAAGTTTTAGCAGTCTTGATGGGAGAAAACCGGTACCTGTCTTTCATAATAATGCTGTCAGTGGTGTAGAAATGTTGATTGGTACAAGGGTTTTAACTGTTGTAGGAATTGATACTTTCAAGTGTTGACACAAGTAATGGGGATTAGTATGTATTGCTTGAATACAGTCTGGTCAGGTGAAAAAAGGAGGTTGCCTGAATAACAGAAAAAAAAGGAAAGAAAAAAGTATTCAATATACTGCCAATTGTTTCAGGCGTGATTATGGATACTTTTGCTTAATTTACCCCTTTCTATCCTTAGTTCCATGGAAATCCCTTAACTGTTCATTTTGGACCAGAAATCGTGTCCACTGCCTTTCATTTTCTTCAGCCAAAATAAATGATCTTGAGTATTTGGTTTAGAGTTTTACCCCTGATAGACTGGCTGAAAGTAATCTGCCTTGGTTCATTTCTAAATAGGCAGATTAAACCCAATATTGACAGTGCCTTGTTCATGGTCTTATGTTATAATGTAATAGTTGACATTATGTAGCAGCCTTCTACAATCCATAACTATTTGCACAGTATTGATACCCTGTATGAAGTGCCCATTATTGATAATAATTAACTATTTGCTCTGCTCTCAAAGAGTTGCCAATGTGTAAGCGGTAGGTGTCAATGGTGCATTCCTAAGGCCCTGTGACTTTTTGTCTGGGGGCGTTGATTTTTTTTCAACCTCATCGATTGACTCTTGCAATCAGGCAGCGCAGTTTGACCCAAAAGGTGCTGTCAGGATTTGAGGAAATACTGATTGGTGGAGAGAGAGAGAGAGAGAGAGCTGTTGATATGGAACTGCTCAATCCCCAAAGGTAATTGTCTAGTCTGACGATTTCATGTAGATCTTGAAATTGTAAATTGTGTTGAAAGAATTTACAGTAAAGTCCAGTGAACTCAGATTAGCTTTTAAAGAATTTTGTTGATGCATTTTGTGTGCATGTTGAATGGATTGTGAATGTGCCCATGCACGCGCATGCATGCACACTTACATTTTTGTTGCACCATTGTGGAACAAAGTAGTATCAACGTATGCAATTAATAATTCTTCACAAGCTTACCACGACATATGGATTTTTCTATCAAATGGGCATAAAAATAGAAAAAGAATGATGGCAGTTTCAAGTTTCATTAAAGCTAGTATGCTATAGGCCCCTTTCCCATAGACACCATCCGTCTATGTAGATTGATCCAACTCTGCGGGGACTCTTGCTGAATGCAATCATTTCAACAGATTAACACACCTCCTCCTGGCATTAAGTAGAATACAGAAAAGCTGGTGATCATAAGAGTACGTTGGGAACAAGAAGAGGAATGATGCAGAAAGCTGATTGTACTTACTGAGAGCCCCTGCAGGGTTGATCGTGTCTATGGGAATAAAGTCATATGTACAGATCAAGGCTCTTGTACTGTATAACAGGCGTCAGCATACAGGTTCCTTATTCTCAGCAGGACGTTGTGTATTAGTTTTTCTAATTATGTCTGAATTATTAAAAGAGCAATTTGAAAAGATGTTAGTCCTTGTATTGAAGAATTTATGGTAAAAGTTTTGCATCAGTTGGTATCAGGCCTATATAGTGGTTTGACAAGTCAACAATCTGTTGTCTATGACTGATGAACATGGCTCTTTTCTTCTAAGTATTGCAATTGAAAATAATATCATGATCATGAAAGCAAATGTTTTATATTTGGTATCGGCATAGTTTTGCTAAATATTAATGTATGTGGTAGATCAATCCTATAACATTGGCTTAGACATGGAATTACTGACTAACAGGGAAAAGGATTGTGTCGTTGTTCTAATGTGTTGGTTGCTTTGTTGTGTGTGCGTGCGTGCATGCGTGCGTGTGTGTGTGTAATATCACTTCTCAAAAATGGATGTTTTGTTCAGGTTTTATTTTCCGTGGATGGTGAAATTGAAAGCAATGTCTGACTGATGCTACACTTGCTGTGGTAAAGCATATTGTTTAAACACAAGGTTAATTTCCTATTTTTTCCCCCCTTGTGAATTTGGTTGTCTTTATCTAATCCAGTGCTGGCAGCAATTATTTTCTTTTTTTTTCCAATGCATTAATGAATATTTAGTGATCTGTGTTTTTTTTTTTCTGGTGTCCCCATAAAGATAACCAATCAATTCAGAATGGTGTTATGGTAATGTCATGGAATCAGGCTAACTAAATCATGTAAGCTGTTATTGATACAGTAAAAAAAAATCTGGAATTGGGAAGTTGTGATCCAAACACTTCATGATATTTCAAAGGTGTCTGCGTGCAATGTTGATTAAGGTTGCTAACATACAGTTTCAATTGTCAGGTTTGAGGTTTCATTTTATTATTTTGGGGGAATCATTTGATATCACCTCTTTAAAATATATATTCTCAAATTTATAAATTTTGATTATAATTTATACAGCAAAAATGAAATGCATTTATACCAGTAGTTTTGCCTTAATATGTTATTTTTATTATGCATTTGCCTTTTTTAGGAAGTGGAAAAACTTGGGAATCCTGCATATAAATAATATAAGAGTGTATTTTATAACATTTCAATTAAATCCATTTTCCTCTGTCATTGTTTTCTCAGTATGTTATTATGAAAATTAGTCTCATAATATAGGCTGGGCTGTTAGATGTACTGTAGATTTTTGTGAGAGACAGTAACATTTGTCATTCCTGTCTCCATATATAGTACAAGGTTGTGTATAAAAATAATGGGATCTTGGTTGATGTGAAACAAGAACAGGAAAACGTGATACGTTTATCAAGCTGCTACACAGGTATCATTAGGTGTTGGGTTAAGAGAGATTTTGCTTTAGCAATTCTTCTTTCCCTTCACCACCAAAATCCTGAGGCTTTTTTAGTCTGATTTAAGAGAAAAAAAGTCCAGCTAACAGTTTTTAGCCTGTTTCGTAATTTGTATCCTAGTATATATGATGGTGCCCAGACATGTAGTATGGACTGGCGTGGAAAAGTGGTGTACATAAAGGTTATTACTCAAGAGACTCCCATTTGTTATTGCAGGTGAACAGTGAGAGATACACAACCTACTGCATGAATCATCATGTGATACCATCTCTGGATTCTCTACCAGCTCCGACACATTGTGGAAAGAACACTTGAACCTCCTGCCTGTTGCCGCCTTACCCAAAGCAAGAACATGGGAAAAGAAGGCATGAATTTTGTATGAAGTCCACCACTGAAGGTGAATGGGGATTAACACACGCAGCGTACTGTGGCATTGATCACATTTTTTTTTCATTTGAACTGCTGATCATCACAGATGGAACTACTTGTACTTTACCAAACCACAAATGTTTACCAGCAGATTGGAATAGGGAGGAAAGAGATCAGCTGATGCGGATATAATTTATTTGAAAATATACTAGGTGGTTGAAATATTCACAGGTTTCCTGCATAGACGTATGTGTGTATGAAAGATATCTTAAAGGTGAGGATTCTTTTTGTGGTATCGTGTGTAGATCTTTTATTATCTTGATGTCTGCTGCAGGAATTTGTTGTAAAGCCTTGTTCACGCCTGATCAAACCAAGGCCTAATAATGAAAATGTTTATTTTTGTATAGTGCATTACATTGCACCTACCAGATATCTGTATGCAATGTACAATCTAGTATTCTTAATATACTAAAATTATACAATTTTGCTTTAAAATTATTTTAAAACTACTTAAAAATAAAAAAAAATGAAAATAGAATAAATGAGATATGAAATTCTAAGGTAGAAGAGAGCCCTCCCACCTCCCATTGACCTTTGCCCAGCATGCAGTGACGATTTTTCTGCATGACTATTCCCCACGCTATATTTTCTGACTTTTAACTAAATTGCAGTCTCATCCCTGATTCATGTGACCATTGCCCAGCATAACCACTACTCACATTCTAATGTATTATGCATTTCTGTTCCAGCAATGGTATAGTGATTTCAACTAGGCAGTGGTGAGAGCCACAATAAGAACAACCACAGTGCAAAAACAATACTGGATTGCCAGTAATAATGCATTTTTGACAATAGAAGAAAGATATTGGATTGATAAAAAAAAAAAGAGAATTTAAAACAGACAACATGGCAGACCATTCTGAGCTGGTTGCAGAAATTCCATTCGTGGAAAAGATGAGCATGCAGGATAGGCTTAAACATGCACGCAAACGTCGTGCATATCAGCTCAAGAAATACTTCCAGTATGACAAACACTTTGATAAGGAGCAGACGAAGCAGCGCAGAAAATCATCCTCCACTTCCAAAAAGTCCAACCACAATAATAACACAAAGAAACGCAAAGGGAATGGGTCCATCTTTTTCGAGGGTCATGTGATGCTACTGGAGGCAGCTGCTAGGAATGACATTGATGAAGGTACGCTAATTTTGATTGGTTGAGAAGATTCAAATTTGGCACGTTGCCCCTGTTTTACAAAAAAAAAAAATTTGAAATCAAGCCTGGCCTCCCATTTTTGAGTTCATCATGGCCACTTTAAGAATGATGTAGGTATAGTGTTTTTGTTTTGATAAAATGGTTTGGCAAGATGAAATAACGTGCAGTTGGTATGCATCTGGAGAACAAGAGCCAAAACCCCGCATGAAACCGTCGTCGTCTTATGTAAGACACTTAACACGCCCAGTGCCCCATCAATTACACGCAAATGTTAGTTCATCAGGTGAAAAAAAGTAAAAGGGCACCAATACATTCTTCTCTGTAATAAAACCTACAGACTATTTCTCCTTGATTTTAGCACCTTGGCAATTGAAAATGAAAAGAAATATTATTCAGTTAACCATCCTGCTGGTAAATTAGTCTTTGCTCTTTTCATTCTCATTTCACCCTTTTGGTGTTGTCCTTACTCTGGAATTTGTTTACCACATTTTTTAAAAAAGAAGTTGAACATGAGTCTATGCAGATTCCTCTAAGTTTAGGTCTTCACTTTGTTCTGTCTGCAAGTAAAACATGTTCTCTTATCATCTGTTACACAGCCCTTTAGCACTTTGTATGCATTCACATCTGATTCAACTTATACCATAAATGGTTCAAATGAAGTCACTCAGTGAGAAGATTAGGATTTCTGTCGAGCTATGAAAACTTCAGTATCCATATTTTCATTTATTTATTGGAATCTTGCTTAATTTTACAAAAGGCTTCAGCCTAACATTTGTACAGTAGAAGAAATAGTTTTACAGTGAAAATGGAGCCTTTAATCTGTTTTTTCTATCAGCTTGACCAGTCAGTATTGGTGTAAGAAAGTCCCGCAGTGAACGAGTCTTGTATCACTAATATAAGTGCCCCATTACACTGTGTTAACATTTAGGTGAAATTTACTGTAAACACACCTGTGACCTTGGGGCATGTACTACTGCGTATATTATATCACTGATGTGACCTGAGGCCAGCAAAGGCAAACAGGCGTTATTTTTAAGTAGTCGATTGGCCATATGAGGACCATCTCGGAAAAAATCCTTTTTGTTTTCAGAGAATGTTGTTCTGTGCATACTACTTTTTTATTCAAAAATTTTATAGGTGACTGAACAACTTTTCCCAACTTTAGTCCAGTTTGGTGGAATACTCTTTAAAACAGCACACAGGTGCTACTTGTGCTTGTGAACAGGTATACATAGCTCATGTTATGAACACACACTATTTTGCCATTAGCCAAAATTGATTGGGCAGATTCATCGCGTCAGTTTTAATCAGAGTTTTACTCAGTTCTGCTAGAAACCTAAGTATTTATTGTAAATTTCATGATGAATACTTTGGCTACGTAAAAGGGATAAGTTTGGCATTAGAAAATTATAGTAAATTATACCAGCATTTTGTTCTTAAACACTTAATTAGAATTGCTAACTTAAAGTAAATGTGGTCCATAAGCCTGATTTATAAACTTCTTGATTCAAACTTCTGTCTTAACATTAACACCAAACCTTGTAAACTTCACTGCCCATGTTCATCTGATGTCACCATCAGAATGGATGTCATTCAAACAATTATAAAGTCCCACGTTAAGCAGTCTAATGACATTGGTAAGCCCAAACACAGTTTAATAAAACCCTTATCTGAACAGTTCTTTATGAGCACATTCAGAACAGCGGACTAACAGATCCATGGATCAAACATGGCTACCCATTAAAAAACTTGCCTCTTCATTCCCGAATAGACACCGGATAGATTCCCCGCAGGGATTATGCAACATGCATTCAAGGGGGTGGCCATATTTGATCTATGGATATGTAAGTCCACTGTTCTGAATGCGCTCTATCACCCCATTTCCATAGATTAGATCGACCTACTTTAGATCGACCTAACTCCCTGGGGGTTCACGCTAAATAGCTGTCAGCCGGGCGGACACGAAAGTTAATTACCCCCTTGCAGCTTGTAGTAGGCGGGACGGACATTTAAGTCGGATTATCTGAAAGTAATCTAGTGAGACTCCCCGCGGGGATAGATCGATCGAAAATCCATGGGAATAGAGCCTATATGTCACAGATTTAAACTAGGCACAGTTAGCCCCAGTCTGTAACTGGGTAAACACATATCAGTATTTAACTGAAGGAGGACTGGGGAACTGTTGACACTTTTATTGCCCTATTGTGTCTGGGAATTGGTAAAATTATAGAACAGACTGTTGGGTGGGAAGTGTTTGCATAATATCATGTTGCTGTCATTCACCTCTTGGGAAACATTAGATTGTGGAATATTTCGGTCAACAACTTCAAGTGGAAATGGATGATTGAGTCTGACTGGCCTCACTGGAAGACAGGGGCTGTTTTTTTTTTTTTTTTTAATGTTAGTCTTTAACTTTAGTCCAATAAATTTGGTCTGTTTCAGTGTAAGCTAAAAAAATTAAAATGAGTAACTTTGTATAGTCTTAAATTTTAGACCAAAATTTTAGTCTACTTCAATTCAGGCTAAACCGGAAGTAAGCCACTAAGAAGAGTAATTCTTTGTTTCAAATGGTATCTGTTTCTTTATTGTTATTGAACAGGTATAATGTATCATTTAACTGGATGACTATTGATTCATCTTACATAAAATTGGTAAAAGCCAACTTTCTGATCAAAAGTTTTTCTGTGAAAAGGGCCGAAGGGGCCAGAGATAGTGTGATACTAAGGTGATTGTCCTGACAACTTTATAGCCTAGTTGGGAACATTGCACTAATACTGTACTCAGGTAAGGTTTAGATTAGGTAGCAATATAATTGTCAACATTGTGCTGAGTTGTGTACCTAGGGCGGTGTTCAAACATGGAAATATCTTCTTTGAGCATAAATATTTAAAAAGCTGGGTACGGTAGTTACTCTCCAATTTCAAACAAAATGGATGTGTTTCATACCCCCCCCCCCAAAAAAAAAAAAAAAAAAAAAAAAAAAAAAGGTTGTGATGCCTGACAAAAGTATTAAAAATTTTATGAAAGTGAGTTGGATGTATGTCTTTGGATTGAAAAATAATCAGGTATTATATTAAACAATAAGTTGGAAATTTTGGAATTATTTCTGGATCAGTGCTTTGCATTTCCTCTGTGCCAAGAATAATATCTATGACACATAAACAGATTTATAAATGTACTATAAGGTGTGTTTTCATTGATAGTGTTATTGAAATTCAGGTTGTTTTATTCTCCAGAGATTGAAATGGACCAGTGTAGACTGTCCTACAGTTTTGTCCCTCTAACACATCTTTTGAATCCCTCATTATTTTTATCCTATATCACTTGCAAAATAATCATGTTAAAAGCAATTTCACCTTATCTACAAGATAACTAAATTTCTTAGATTAAATTGGCAGGAGTAGAAGTTAAGATGATTAACTGAAGTGGAGATGTGTTTAAGATGGTGCACAGGGGCGTGATGTTGTACTTTGTCTCATCTTCTCCCCCGTGAGTCTTAGAGCCCCTTCCCAATAAAACTTTGGTTCTAAGGAGGTTGTTCCAAACTGGGAGGGGGGGGGGGGGGGGAGGACTTTTGTTGAATGCAATGACATAAAAAGATTAACAGGCCTCCTCCTGGCATCGAGCAGAATACAGAAAAGCTGGTGATTATATATGAGTACATTGGAAACAATTGAATGCATGTCATTCAGTTGATCTGATTGCATTTAGCCAGAGTCCCCATGGAGCTGAATCGATCTATGTAGAGCAAAAAGCTTTATTGGGAATGTTCCCCTTAAATCCAACTGTCTGACTTTTCTTAGAGATTTTTAAAAAGTGCACAATACTGAAAGCCTCTTTGAAATGGTCTTAAAAAGATGCAGCGTTTAAACATACAGCGTTAGAAGCACTTAGCAGAGATAATTGATGAGATCACCTTACAAGGCTTCTTAAAGAAAGTCTATTGAAGAGTTTTGAAAGCTGCAGCAAGTTAAAATGTCAAGCTGTCTTTAAGTGGATTACATCACTATCCTTGGAAAGATTGAAAGGAATTTTGGAGATGTGTATTGACATTTGGTCGATGAGTGACATATTTGGAACAACAAAAGGGATTGTCAGGTTCCCAGGTTGCAACCATTCTTGGCTTACAAATTATCCTTGGAGAGAAATTTCTTGTAGTCAATCCTTAGGTCCCAATGTAGGAGTATATTCTTGGTAATTACTGGAAAGTACTTGCCTCGTTATGTATTGATGCATAATTTTTTTTTTTTTGAGTGCAGTCATTGTTTTACTTATTTCTGACTCTGAAATCCTACTTTTGTATTTTTTTTTTCTAAATTTCTTTTTTGATGCATTATCATAGATTCGCATATTTTTGACAAACTGGATCAGGCAAATAAGCATTAAGGAATATAAAAAGTATGTTTGGTTTTAATGAGTTTGATAAAATAAAGCTTCTATTGATCGGAAACAGTGGCATTTTCTTTGTTGGAATAAAGCAGGTACAATGTTTCATTTAATGAGACTTCTACTGAGCATCATGGGTTAAAGTGGACAAAAATATTGGTCTAAAAGTTTATGGTTGCAGTTGGGCCCTTTATAAACACTCTGGTTTAAGTTAGAGCTGTTCTAAACACTTCTTTTTGGTCCAAGTTTGACATATTCTTAACACTCTCTGGTCTAAATTATCCCTGGACTATACTTGATTTTATGGCATAAGTTGGACCCATTCTAAACACTATTTCTGGTTAAAGTTTGGCCTATTCTTAACCTTACTTCTGGTCTTAGTTAGCCCTGGTGTAAACATGATTGTATGTCTTACTGAAGCCAGCCAGTACACTGCATTCTCCACTGTTTTATGCTTCAATTCTTTTGCTCATGGATCTGCATTGACACACCAACTCAACAGCCATGAGCGGAACAATAAGTCAATACCCAAGGTAATATTTGGAAAAATAATAATGAATAAAATAAGTTACTTTTTAAACATGGCTGGAGAACCTAACCAACTGGGAGCTTCCCACGCTCCAGTTAATCCTTGAGTATTGTATTTGACTGTGGCTGTGAAGTATATTGTGATCTGTGTGGTTTGATACTCAACTATAGAGAATATTATTAAAATGGAATTATGCAATCAAATTGAAGATTGTAGATTGTCAGTTAGACTAACAAGAGGCATGGAACTGTAAGATTATATACTTTTATGTACATAAGTTGTACCTCCTTCCCTCCCCCCCCCCCTCTATAGGGAGAGAGAGAGAGAGAGAGAATAAAGTGAAACTGGATAAGACTAAGCTATTTTTTCCTTTTTCGAGGCAGTGTGTTTTATCCTTGTGCCTCCCCCCATCCCAACCTTAAAGCAAAATCCTTATTTTACCAGTGTCAATTTAACTTTAAACCTGTCTATTTAACACCGTTGGTATGCACCAAATGTTGTGACCTTTGTGTCCCAGACTAAGTGACAAACACATACATGTCTAGCTGTAATGCTAGCCACAGCTTGATGTGATGTCAAGTTTCTATGATATTGTGTGTTTTTTTTTTTCAGTGCGGAGACTGCTGACGGCAGGTGTCAGTCCAGATGTCACCAATGAGGATGGTCTCACTGCTCTTCACCAGGTAGGAATGATCAGCTGTTGCCTTTATCAGGTTGGCCTGCTGCAAATTTGCAGCAAGTTTGCTGCAATATTGCTGCAAACTGCAAATCTTTCTTGCAAGTTGGCTGCAATATAGCTGCAAATTAGCAGCAAGAAATTTTTTTCTTGCAAACAACTGCAAACTCGTTGCTGCAAACTGCTCATTTTGCTAAGGGGAGGGAATAAGGGTGGAAGTTTACTTTTTTCTGGAATATGTGTTACTTTTAGAAAAGAGGAAACAAATAAAAAATGGTGAAAGTTTCTGTATTTTGTGTAGAGAATTTAAGGGAAAAAAATCATTGTAGTTGTACTCATTGTAAAGAGATGGACAGTTTATTCCTTAGTGAACATTTTTGCAACACTTTTCCTGTGCTTGGTATGTATTTGATTAGTCTTCACATTATAAAGTTTTGCTTAGTGGCTAAGGTGATTAAATGAGGCATAAAAAAGATTGATCATTCATTAAATTTAAACCAAAGTTGTAATTAGAGCCACTTTGATTGTTAATTGTTATCTTAACATATGTCTCATACTGTTGGATATATGTTCTAGTGTTGTATAGATGACTACGAGGAGATGGCAAGACTGCTGATTGACTTTGGTGCCAACGTCAATGCACGTGACAGTGAGCTGTGGACACCACTGCACGCTGCCGCAACATGCGCACACATTCATTTGTGTGCATTGCTGATACTGAAGTGAGTAGTCATGTTATAATATCTTTATACCTCCTTGAAACATAAAAGAAAAGAAATGTTAATTGGACAAGCCTTTAGCCAGAGATTTCAAATGGAAGTGGGGGGGGGGGGGTCTTTTTGTGAAAAGGTAAAGCTTTTTATCATGTCCATAGAATGTAGATCTGGCCCCAGTTTCACAGAAAAAAAAACCCTGAAGTTAGTTGCCTGGCTTACTTGACTAGGATTTCCATGAAAATGCTGTTACACTGCTCCTGATAGGGTAAGATATGACCATGTCCCCTTGGTAATTAAGTTCTAAGCCAGGGACTAAACTATTTTTGTGAAACCTGGGCCTGGGCTCCTTATCTCGAAAAGTTCGCTATGTTGCGCACGTGCGCAAGTGTCTCGATTCCATGGCCCCGTATCTCGAAATAGAATCGGTTATGGAATTGAGACACTTGCGCACATGCGCAACATAGCGAACCTTTCGAGATACGGAGCCCTGGTTTCAGAGCTGACCCTCCTGGCCAAAAACTGGGCTTTTATGAAATGACAGCAATGTGACAATACTGCATACACCAATGAATTTTGACTTTCACAGCATATTTGCTGCAGGGCTATAAATGCATGTAACAATATCCCTTAAAACATTTATGAAAATGAGGGATAAATTGCTGGATCAGTGCTAAACCGTGTTTTTCTTTTATCCTTTTATCTGTTTTTATTTTATTTTATTACAGGGGAGCTGAAGTTCTGGCAGTGAATGCAGATGGCAATATGCCTTATGATATTTGTGAAGATGACATCACTTTAGATTACATTGAAAATGAAATGGCAAAGAAAGGTAAGTAGTTCTGTCTTCAGTATTCTTGTTCTTCCTTTCTTTTGTGTATTTAAGACATTACTCTGTTTGGCTGATTGTCTAATTGATGTATTAGGTCTATAAGTCATTGGAAAAAAAAGGACTAATTGACATCCCCAGACAATAAGATTACATAGAGACTGGAAATAGAATAAATGACGTCCCTGGACATTTAAGTATACGCAGAGACCTCTTTTGAGTACCAGATTCTTTAATTCCATGTTCAACAAATGGAGCACAGTCTCGGTGGATTTACGAAGAAAAGGGCCCAGTGAGATGAAATGATACCCCGGGGAAGGCAAGGGTCCTAATTTTTTCCACTGTGCCCTATTCTTTGTAGTTCATTATGAACTATGCTCTATTTTTTTATTGTAACAACTGTATGAAGGAAAGACTGGCCAACCAGAGGACTAGGGTTCTACGAGGGGTATCATAATAATTGATAGGGGATATCCATTCACATCAGTTGTAATCTATTTCTGGTTTAAGTGAGACCTTGTGTGAACAGTCTTTATCACTGAGATATTAATTCCTTTCTCCTCGTTTGATCCTGCCGTGAAGTTTTCGCCTTTCATGTGTAATCATGGAAGAAATCTATTATGGTGAAATGTAATCTGTACAACGGAGCCCTACCGGATTATTAATCAATACTGCATGTAGTGTCGGGGTTGATAGTGGACTGGGAAATTACTGAATGTGAATTCAGGAAGGTGCTAACTTACACAAGAAGTATTGACAGTGTTAGTGAATTTTAAGATTCCTAAACACATTGGCGTCCCTTTAATGTTTCTGTAGCATCTGGGTAATTAAAATGTGACTGTTTTTGTTTTTAAAGTTATTGTCATTTCTGAAGACAACACTTAAGTCCTATTTAGTACTTCTACTTGAATGAAAAATATAGGGAAAATGTCAGTGGTTACTGAAGTTTCACACACCAATTTGGCTTAGTACTGAGGCCGTTACTATAAAAAAAAGCATACTATGGGCGCATTCAGAACAGCAGACTAACAGACCCGCGGATCAAATATGGCCGACCCACTTGAATACTTGCTGCGTAATCCCCGCGTGGAACGTATTCAGTGTCTAATTCTGAATCAAACGGCAAGCTTTTTAGTGGGTCGCCATATTTGATCCACGGATCTGTTAGTCCGCGGTTTTGAATGCACTCAATCATTCTTTATATACATATATGATTATTATTTTATATTGAATAACTTTATATCTTAGGTATCACCCAGGAAATGATAGATGACACTCGAATGGATACAGAAAAGATGATGTTGAGGGACATCAAACAACTGGCAGAGGAAAAGAAAGATTTAGAGTTTGTAGATGAAAATGGGGCAACTCCAGTAAGTTCACACTTGGTGTATGATGTGTAGTAGTTTGTAAGTTCAGATTCTTAATCTGACTGAATTTGACTGGAAAAAGTAAGCCTGACATCAGATTACAGATTATTAGATCATATTATTCATTTGAAATTGACTTTAAGGGATAACAATTGATCATTGTGGCAGGAAAAGTGCCATTAAAAAGATTTTCCTAGGGTAAAAGATAATTTTCCTATACTTTCAGTGAATCGGTTCCCACATTCAATTTTTAAAAGTTTTTTTGTGATAATGCCTTGAGAGATTATTATGGAGCATAGCCATCTATAAAGTTCCGCGTGCACATATTTCAGAATAATTGCAATAAACACTGTTTTGGTGGTTAAATGGAATTAATCATATTTCTATGTGTTGTTTGTAATGTATTAATTGTGGAATTTTGAATCTCTGTTATCCCTTTAAGATCAGATGCTTGAGAAGCAAACGGAATTTTGGAGACTGAAATCATTTCCTAAATCAGTCTTAGTTCGTTTGTGATATCTGCATTCATGTCTTTTGCTACATGAGCAGATATGTCCACATGACACACGCACACATGCACACTCACATACACACACATTCTTAGACAGGTGCATTTAACACGTATATAGAAGCAAACTGAAAAGCACAGCTTTCCACCTGATCTGTAAGGCAACTACAAGTCAACTATATCTGACCTAAATCTGGTGCCCTCAGAATCATTTTCCCTGATTTATTGCCTAATGTGAACTTGTTGAAGGCAGCACCATGTGGTTAAGGAAATGCTGCATCAAATGAAGTGTGCTGCTGACAGTTCAGGGAAAGGATTACCTAAATGTTATTCATTCGATACAAACTTCATGTTGATTTAAAAGGCAGTGACATCATTGTGAACTTCCTTTTGCACTTCATTACATGTAAAATTCTGTGTTTTGTGTTTGTTCTCTGATTATTTAAAATGTGGCCTTTTTTATTTTGGGATTGTGAATGTAGATACCAGTACTGTATTTACTAAGCTGGAACACAATAGATTTATTACGACTAATAGATACATTTTTGTGAGTGACTTAAGGTAATTAATCTTGCAGTCAGATGATGAAATATTAAAAAGTTTTTGAGATTTGTAAGTGATTATGACATTCAAATTTGAAAGAATTTGGTCTCTGTGAATGATAGCGATATGTATATTTCAGAGCCTGCATAGACCCTGCAATATTTGATGTATGAACCATGTGTTTTATCAATCAATGAAAAAGATAAGACCTAGGCATTAACCCACATCAATTCTCCCAGGAGTGAACTTAGAAGAAATATGTTGTAATTGATTCCCAGTTGCACTTCCATGCTTTCTTTCATCTCACCCCTTTTTTTATCTTCAGCTTCACATAGCGGCAGCAAATGGCTATGAGAGCGTAGTGGAGTTCCTGCTGGACCACCACGTGTCAGTAGATGTCCGAGATGTGGACGGCTGGACGCCCATCCATGGGGCAGCTTGCTGGGGACAGGTAAATGTGATGGGTGGAGGAGGGGAGGGGACACTTTCTGGACACACTATGACATAGGGTAGCCTGTCAAGTCTGTTTTTTGGGACAGCCTTATTGGGAACTGGCATTTGTCAGCCTGCCTGAGATACACACAATTTCCCCCATTAAAAAGGTCTAGTAATTGCCATATTATGAATGGGACACCCATCTTGAGACACTGTTGTATGGGACAGCCTGCTTGAGGCACTATGACACGGGACAGCCTGCTTGGACACTGAAATTTGACAGCCTGCCTGGGATATATGGGACAGACATCTTAAGACGCTTGTATGGAGCACTTACATGGGACAGCCTGCTTGGAACACTGACGTGGAACAGAATATTAGACTGCTGTATGTGACAGCCTTATGGGACACTGACATGGGACAGCCTGCTGGGGACACTGCATGGGGCAGCCTAGTAAAGACACCGGGACACGGGACAGTCTGCTGTGGGTAGTGTGACAATAGAAAGCCTGTGTGAGGTACATGTATGTGACAGGGGACAGTCTTCTGTGGACAAGGAGGTCATTTTGACTGCAGTTCTGCATTAGTTAGGTTTTTAATGAACTTTTCTAGCCAGATGGGATTTCTTATCATATTTGACACATTTTATGATATCTGCTTGAACATTTGAACACAGGCCAGGATATTCCTCAAAGACACTGGAATCAGAGATGGTAAAGGAAACTACTGACTGGTTGTTATTGACTGCTTTTATTGGTTTCCCAATAATTGGTTGGATTAGTTGATATGAGAAGAAAAAGGCAGTTTCAAGCCAAGAGGGATTTTATTCACATGCACATATCTTGTTTTCTAGACATAGAGTTGAAAATCTTCCAGATTTATCTGGGAATCCGGATATTTGAATGTAGTCTTTTTATCCCTAACACCCCCTCTGTATAAAACTGTGCACCATCAGTGCTGCAATTTTAGGATTTTTTGAAAGGTCCACTTTCATCTCTGTAGATAAATTACGACCAGCTGACCTTTTTGCATGCTTTGTTCACACTTTTGTAGGATTTTTTCTATAACTCAAGAGATATCCCTTTTTGATTAAGCAGAGTATTACTTTGACTCCAGGAAAATAAGCAATTAGGAAATGAGTTGGGTGAAAGTAAAATTCTCCTTCAAAACAAAATGTGTTCTTTAGCAAATCCAACCATAAAAGTATAAGGAAGATATCTTTTTTAAAAAAATCTACATTTAAAGGGTGGCATGTATTGAACTAATGTTGTGATCAATCATAGCTCACGGAATATACGATAAAATCTCGATGATTTCAACCAGAAAAAAGTTATTGATTTGTCAGGTACATGATTTTGGAATCAGTAAAAAGACAATTCTGTGTAGCATTTTGGTCCTATTACTATATACAGTAGAACAATCGGGTAGTCTCCTTTTCAATTGTGTTGCTACCACTCACCATGAATGTTATAATTTTAAGAATTTATTACTTAAAACAAGTACAGTATCTGTAAAATTCACAATTTTCCCATTTGAAATGATCGTGCCATTACCGTAGCAGAAAATGGCCAAAACAATGTGATCCATCTCAAGCACTTATTTGCCTCATAAAGGAAGCCAAAGTGCAATCATGTTACTGTAAAATCAATCAAACTTGTAGAAAATTACAATTGATGGGGATTTGTGGTCACTGACTGTTGTTTAATTTGCATTTAAGTTATTATTTTTTTTTTTTTAGAATTGTAAAATGTCCAGTGTGTAATTTTATATAAAGTGAAAATAAAAAATTTTGTTGTGAACTGCCCAAAATGAATTTCACTTAAAATAATAATTTATCTGAATTCCCACATATAAACTTTCATAACAAATTATATCTCAAAGGGCTCTGACATGATTCCATATTCAACTTTCACTTTACATGCACCAAGAAACATAAATAGCAACCTTGCATCTTCAGGTCCGAACCAAAAACCTCTTATTGTGTACGACTGTCTAATATTGCACCAGACTTAATAACATTTGCATTTTTCTCGTATCTTTCAGCCGGCCATCTTGGAAATCCTGGTACAAAACGGGGCCGACATTGAGTCCAAGTCGAACAATGGGGAAACTCCTTACGGTGAGATCAACTATTTACTGAGAACTGTACAAAGTGTTATCAATTTCAGGTCTCGACATTATTATTTTTTTACTTGGTTGCTACTGAACGCAACCAGGCCCGATGTTTTGGTTGTTGTTCTAGATTTTAAAAAGAATGCTTTGTGAGAGGGGAGGGGGCTTACCAAGCATGCAATGAAGTACTTTATTTTCTAATTGATACTCCAAGAGGATCCAGTGCCCTTGAGCACACTGTAAAACATACAATAAAAGAAAAAGCATTCAAAAATGGAAACAGTTTCATTGTCAGACAACTGCTGTTCAAGATATGGTTGCCTGAGAGGAAAAATTGGTTGCAAAAGACAACCACACAACCCTTAATGTCAATCCCTGAATTTTAATAATGAATGAAATGTGCTGAAAAGCCATTTAAAGGAAATTTTAAACAAATTTGTAGTTATTTTGTATTATGAACTTGTTTTTTGTGAATAATAGAATTGTATATCGAGCCACAATACAAAGTAAAGAAATGGACCAAAAGAGTTCTGTGCACGCATATTTTGTACATCTTTGACATCATATGCATTTATGTATGTATGTATATATATATGTAATTTCTTTTTCCCCTTTTGAAGATATTTGTGAGGACCCAGAATTCAAGCAGAGAATCTTAGAACTAAAAGACGAAATGGAGAACAATAAACTAAGCAGAACCAAAGAAATAATGAAGAGGCGAGGCCACAATACAAGGAGGTATGGTTTCCTTATTGTCAGTCCCATGTTGTGTAGAAAAATACCAATTGGATTAAGACACTATTTATTGCTATCCATTATATTTTCAAAGCTGAATAAATCCAGACCCATGTTTTCTCCAGTCCTTCTGTCCCTACAAGAGAGAATATTGTTAGCTAAATTCTTATAAAAATTGAACACAATCAATTAATAATATAATCCAGAACAGTGTTTTGTTAGCAATGCATAAAAGTTGTTAATTCAAAAGATGCAAAATTTGAGTTGGTATCAAGTCGGAAAGTAAATTTTCATGAGTAAATTAAAAAGTCCTGCGGTTGAATGACTGTCACATGCTGTATATCTGGCTATGGAGTCTCACTGAAGGAAAAGGAACTAAAATGTAAAAAGTAAGAAAATGGCCAACAGCAAAGGTTTTTTTCTGAAGGATGATAAAGAGTGGACTCAAAATCTGGATGTATTCAGTTTTTCATATTTACATGCTGATGGCATGGCCAGGCTTTGCTATTAAAATATCAAAATATCAGAGCAGCTATTTGTCTTATGATTATTTGTTCTGCCTACCTGTATATGACATTCAAATATACAATTAAAATGCCATCTTGAATATGCTTTTATGATTTTATTGATTGAATATTCATTGAATAATTATTTACGTAATAAAAATATGTATTTTCATTTTTTATGCCAGTTTTTACTTGTATATTGTAAATTTCTACAGGAAATTCTTGTGATTTTAGAAAAATTTTAGAAATATATTTTGGAATAAATGATGTGTAGTATTAGATATTGTGTTTAAATATGATAAATGTACACTTTTTTGACCATCTATAATGCCCCAATTACCAAAACCCAGTGATGCTTAATTAGAATATTATCCTTTTTTTTAAATGTATGACTCTTTAAGACAAACTGTCTGTAAAGTACCTCAAGTTTTCCACATCTTCAATGTGTATGAGTGAATTTATGCACCACTTACTAACCAGACAAGGAATAGATATAAGGGTTATTGAGGACCCCTTTTGAAGAAATGACTGTCATTTCTAAGTCACCCTGTCCATGAAGAAGAGGGGAGTAATTTTGCATTAAAGTGTGTCAAGGACACCTTTGGAATATGTGCTTATGGAAGCCCTGGTCTTGTGTAATATCCTCCCTGCTGCTGAAGGAGAACATGATGATGTCATGGCTGAGAAATCGTTGTTCAAATTAAAAAAAAAAAAAAAAAATCACACTTTTATAAATTGGTGAAAATCTTCTCAAGATTTCACACTCTTTTGAGCAATGCTAAATTATTTTTGGATTTGATCAAATTTGACTTTCTGGCATGATCCAAGCACATCTTGATGATCTGATAGCTTCTGTTCAGCATCTAAAACAAATACCGTTGAGCTGTACGGAACCGCTACAAAAATACAATAAGCCAGAAACCAATTATAGGTGAGATTTACTCTGGATCTTCTTTCAAGAGGAAAACAAAGTTAATCAGATAGAAAACCATCGATATTGTTGGCCAGTTATGATTGTATTTTCCTGTCAGCTTCTTTCTTCCTCATTGCTTGTTGTTAATATACCTGCTCCTCGCCTTCCCAGATCAGTAGATAGGCGAAACAACTTCCTGTCCATTCCAATGAGGTACGTAAGCCACCTTGGAAGGTGAAAACAACCTTACAGTGAGCATGCCATATTTTCCATGCATATTTAGTTGAACAAGCTGACCAAGAGCATACCATTCTTTCATGCAAATTTATATGACAACCTGATAGATAATATGCCATGTTTCCATGTAAATTCCTTTGAACAATCTGATAGATAAATTGCCACATCTCCATGCAGATATAGTTTTAATTAATAACGTGGCAAGTCATATTTCCATGTAAATTAAGTGGCTGCTTTTAATAATTAGTTTACAGAATGGTTAATGGTTCCATGTGTGCACACAGTTTGACCAGCAGATTTGGTATTGTACACAGATTATAAACAAAAACAAACAAAACAAATTTTTTTTTAATGTTACAAGAATAAAAATTCTTTCTCGTCAGCGCAGGCTTTTATATGGACCAGTTCAACCCAGCTGACCCTAGGCTACATCATTTGAATCCTTTTAGACAGCTGTGGTATTATTTGCATTTTTAAGACGTTCCTGATCCGTGATTGATGACGACCTGTGCTGTTACAATTGCATACAAGATTGATAGCTTATCGCATTAAGTGCAAAACCATGTTGATCTGTATGATAGAGATGTCGTACGTTTAGAAGGAAGAAATTAAAGAAGTGTCATTGATATCGTTTTGATTTTTATCATCACAGCTTTCAGAACTGAATTTCTGTTTTAATAATTAGTAAAGAGTGCAGGAATTTTCAACATGGAAACGTGGCATTTCCCCCCTTGGTTGCTGTGACCTCTTACTGGATTTGTCATCATATAACCCTTCATTGATGGCTGTGACAATTTTAGAGAATATTCAGCCTGGAAGGATGGATGCACTTTTTCTTTATTGCTGTGACTTTTCCTTACCGAACAATTTCTGTATGGAATTTGGTACACTTTCCTCAATGTGTGACCATCTATGAAATTCTCAGCATGGAAAAGTGGTGCTCTTCATTTTTTTCATCAATAACTGTGACCTAATAAGACAGGTGCTCTCAACTCATCTGCTGCAGTTGTCCTGGGTCCATTTTGCAAAAGTTTTGAAGTGAAAAGTTTGTTTAAACTTTAAGACTAAAATCCGTGGTCTACTTTGATTCAGTAAAAAATTCTAAAATCACCAAGACAAAGAAATGTTCTTTTCTTAATTTTTGTAAAACAGAAGGAATGTCTTTGTTTAAGCAGACTTATAAGGAACATCCTGGATCAGGGTAGACCCCCCTTTTTTTTTTTCTTTTTTTTTTTCTTTTTTTTTTTGAAAGCTAAAACTAATTTTTGACTTCAGAAAGTTCTCTTGTGAAATGGGACCCTGGTGTATGGTGTGTGCATATCCAATAAGGCATGGTGAACAGAGAGCAGTGTAGTTTGCATGAATAGTAGAACTTAAATGATGAAGGATAATCAAAAGCATGTGTTGTCATCCAAGATGTCCGACTTGTGTTTTGCCAGCTTGTTTCATTTGTATTTTGTCTGGACAATCGCAGTTCATGCTATTATGACAGATGTTGAATGAAATTTTTTTTTGTGTGGGATTGTCTCAAGTGTAATTTGTCTCAACAAGCACATTTCATGCTGCATCAAGAGCACAGTACAGTGTGTCCAATTTGTGTTGTGGCAGGTTGTGTCAATTGTGTCTTGTCTCAACAAACGCATTCCATGCTTTGCCAGCAGCAGAATACACAATGTCCCTCACTGCATTTCATCCCCTTTAATTGCCATGGAAAAAAGGCCGGCACCTCATTGTGCATAAACATGTTGATTTATTCCACAGCATGCACCCCCTGCTCTCACTCTGCATGGCTGCTAAAACTCCTCAATTTGTCCATAAGAGGGGAGTGAACTGACTTTATTGAAGGGCAGATCCAGAGACGGGAAGTGCGTCCACTTAATTGAAAGGTGGATGTTGAGAAGGATGATGTAGTGGAGGTCCTGAAACTGGCCTTGTTAATGCAAAAACAATTTTTAATTCTTGCAAATTTAAGTGGAAAAAATCCCCTCCCATACACACACACACACACACACACACACACACACACACACACTTCTTCAGTAAAACCTGCAGGAGACTTGAGTTTCTGTTTATGGCTCTTTGAGATCTACTGACATCATATTTCCCATTCCTTTAAGTTGTTTAGTAGATGTTGCCATGGAAAATGGCACGTTGATTAGATTTTTGGCTTAGATTGTCTATTTATGGTGGCCTGTTGCTGGTAGTATGATCTTGTTGCTCAATCTGAAGGAATTAAAAAATTGGACTCATTAATTTGGTTGGATTAAGGGTTGATTGCATCATTTATAGAATCTCCCTAGATTCTATGACATTTGATGTCAATTTGTTTGATTTCTGTGAGCTATTGAATTTTAACAAATAAAAACTTAAAAACCTGAAAAGACCTAAGAATTTCTTAGAGCTGAAACACAGTCTTGCTATGGTTGACATTTCTATAAATTTTATTATATCTACTATTTTGCCTCTTACAAAAAAAGGCAATTTTTGATATTAACATTTAACCCTAAAAGAGTGATTTTTTTCTTTTAGTAATACATAATGACACTCTTGTCCATAAATTACTAACATCTGAAGTTAAATATAGCACCAGAAATTTACCCTTTATATATGTGTTTGCGAACCTTACAAACATCTTGTTCCATAATCTTGATTCTAAGCAAGCTCGTAGCCAATGATATTTACCGTTACATTTTACAGTTTGCAACATAGTAATAGTACTGGGTCCATGTATAGCTCCAATACATCGCTGCCCGAGAAACATCGCAGGTTAGCATGGAAGGGTTTGATGTAATAAACAAACTTCTCTTCTGCAGGCTTGACTCACAGTGGAATTTTGGGAGAAAAAAAATGAAAAAGAAGTAGAAAAGGAATGATCACAGAGTTATATAATTTTTCTTTTTTTATTCTGATTTCAAATTTGATGGAAAATTTCACATTTTCATCAAATTTTTAAATTGGAATAAAAACTGACAAATTATAAATATAGGATGATATGAAGTTAAATAATTTGTCAGCCTTTATTCCGATTTAAAATTTGATGAAAATGTGATAAACCTTGTTAATTGTTAAGCTGCTGGCCCAGGCAGAAAGTGAGTCCAGCCTATGGAAGAGGCATCATAAAGGTGTGTTCACTACCAGACATACCTGGACTGGAAATGGCCATATGACAGACATGAACTTTTTCTGCATATTTGCAGAATTCTAAGATTTTTTAATTCAACTCTGATGGGGCTTAATGTATCCCCAATACAGTTGGCTAATAAAGTGTTCGGTCTCATTAGGGTGAATGTTCAATGACTTAAACAAGGGTTCATGTCTGAATTTCAAAGCTAATCAGATTAGTGAAATGTAAAATCTGGTTACCTTATGATATCACTTGGGTTGTTTTCGGTCTAAGTTTGTCTTGTTATGAACACGCCTTTGGCCGTAATTTCCCATTGAGTGGTGTGAGGATATCTTGCGCCAAGTGGGGACTTGCTGTACCCCAACAGTGATTGAGCAAGGGAGAATGTCACCCATATTATAAAACCTGACTATTTTCATGTTAGAGTTTTGGTCAATTACCTGTTCTTCTGTGTTCAGCATTTCACATCTAGTCTTGTGTCAAGACAACATACTTACTTAAACCAATCACACTTTTATCTAGTCATTCCCATGGAAATGTGGGCCTGTTCACACGGGTGCTAGGTTGACCAGGAAAAAAAACCAAAAAAACTAACTGACATCACCAGATAACCAGTTTGCTTAGCATGGAGTTGTGGCTAGATAGCTGTGCTTGTGTTTTCTGGTATGCCTTGGTGATCTCATTTAGTTTTTCCTGGTCAAATTTAGTCCTGATGTGAACACGACTTTAGTCTATTTCCTAGAAAGATCAACTTGTTCACCTCTTGGTGCATTCTCTCAGTAATCATAACTTTATGTTACATTTAAAGTATGTTAATCCTACCCTGTGAGACCAGTTGAAATATTAAATAACTCCCTTTAACGAACATTTTTTCCCCCAAGGTTCTCAGTTTGAATTTTTTATTTTGATTTAAATTTGTGGGATATAACAATATGAGGTATGAGGACTAACTAACTTTTGAAGGATTTCAGACATTTTATTTACTCTGCAATAGTGTGCAGTATTTTTTCCCTTTTTCGCATTATGTTGGAAATAAAAGTATATTTTCGATGTTGGCATCAATATTTGAGACCAATTCTAGTTTGAGAACTTAAATAAAGGAGATCTTAGATGGAGATTGAATCCGATTTGCAAGTGCCATCCTTGTTTAACTGGTCTGACAAAAATAAAAAATATATTGACATTTCTACTCTTTTTATGCTGTTTGCTGATCAGCAAAGTTTGAAGGTTGCTAGTTGGCTGAAATGAGTCAAAGCAGAGCTTGACTAGAGGTAGAAGTGCTTTTGCATTTATTGCAAAACATCAAAACATATCACTTGATTTTGGGCAGTATTTTGGTGAAAAAAACATTTTAGGTATATTTTACTGTATCAGGCACATATTTAGAAATTCAGTTTTTTTTTTTTTTTTTTTTTTTTTTTGTAAAAGTACATGTAGCCAAAAGCAAGTGTTTTACAAAAGTAAGCCTCTGCTTTGCTGTGCTGATTGGCATACAGCCCCCAGTATTGACTTTCACACATTCCCCAACTTAATAATCCATATTCAGTCCCAATAAGTTTGTGCTATTTACTAGACACTGATAAAACTGTCTTTTTTTAACATAAGTTCCCTAACATTTGACTTGTTGACTTTCCCCAATAATTATGTTTGAACAGTTGCTCACTTGCATGATAAAAACTAAAATTTTAGTCGCATAAAGTCGGTACAATATAAATAGCATATGCACTAGATACTCGGGCCTTAGGTAGATTATTAATTGAAATCAAATGTGGATTTTAGTCACATTATTTAAAAGCCAATCTCAAGCAATATTGCACTCACATTAACTAATAGATTTATCGCGAAGCAATATTTCACTTACATATACTGATGAATTGATCACAAACTGGTATGCTACCTGTTCTTATTCACTCACCAAGTAATTACCAGTTACCATAACCTGCTGCTTATTTTTACACAGAAGACATTTAGAAGTGGTATATTGCTGGTACACTTCAATGTTTTATGTTTTATGTCACAATCTGCTCCTAGGGTACACTAAACTTTGACTTTGCCATTTCTATAAATCCACCAAAATGACCAGTTGTGAAAATGGTGGATTCTTTTACGGTTTGGATATGTAAGCGATTTTATTATCATGTTCATTGTTGGATATGAACTGAAATCTTAGCCACCAAAATTGAATTTTCCCAGAATCTCATTGCTCTGAAACAAATGGCAAAACATTTTTGGTGTATCCAGGAGCCCCCATTACATGTTCTATCACAAAATGTATGCCAAAATCTGTCCAAATCCTTAATTGCTTGTCATGATCATGACCTTCATTTAAAGATGTTAAATTTTTTGACAATTTAGGGCATGTTCACATCAGGTTTAACTTACACCAGGAAATGGTCATAGAAAACCTTCCTCTGTCCTTGAGTGAAACGTACTGGTTGCTACCCTTGGAACTGAAAAGTTTATACCTCAGTTTGGGATCTTGTTAATCTGTGTAGTCCCACTTCTTCACTGCTCAGCAGCCTAACCAATAAATAAACCTAGGAAGTACAGGAGAAATAACAGGGCATTACATAAAGGGGATCACACAGAAGACTTGATATTATTAACTCCAAAGTGTAGCAATCATGTTGAATACCACCCAGAGTCCCATGTTTAACCTGGTGTGAACTCGGCCCTCACTGTAACTTGCTGTGTGGCAAGCCTCCCTGGCATATTGCTTTTTACTGTTGCTTACTTTATAAATGTGATACGTAACTCAGTTTGTGTAATCTGTGTATGTAAATATTGGCATGCTATGGAGAGGATGTAACGGAATGTATCTGTATATATGGGTAGAAGTGATACAGGATATATTAAAGCTGCATTCAAGACAGTTTTAACTGTAACCATTTTATTCTACTTTCAATAGGAAGTATTCGATTGCAACAATTTGCCAACTTAACTTAGGTTTGATTATTGTCTTTTTTTTAAATTATTTTAATTGAAAGTTTTTTTCCCATGGTGGTTTTTGAACTTAACTGGTCTCCTAGAGCCACAGTTATAAGGCCACTGTGCCTTTCATTCCTACTTTTTTCTTACAACCCAAAATCATGTCTGCAGTCAACATGCAGTGAACTATTTTAATGAATTAGGTGGATGAGGTCAGACTGCATTCAAATATTGTATACTTCCTGCTGAAAATAGTTTTTGGAAAAAATGGTTTAAGTTTTAATTGTTCTGGATTAAATATTTTTTAAATGATTTTGAATGTGGCCTGGGAGGAATATAGCCCAATACACGTGCATGCTCAAAGGAATGGTGATACGTGACTTCTTTCAGTGTGGTAAAAAATTTGATGTGAATTGTAATGGTACCTTGAAAGTGGTGCCATCTATTTTCCTTGTGTGTACTTGCTTTTTGTTAAATACACCAGGCAAAATTTAAAATGCTTTGTGACCATTTCAATGTTGTAAAACAATTTGTCCGTACTAGTTTGTTTAAAATAAAACTAATTGTGAAAAAAGCATTGGTAATTTTTGATCAGCTGCTTCTGTTGTTGACTTCTGCAAACAGCTGCAAGGAAAACTTATCATCATCGTATATTTTGCAGTGCATCTGTACGGCGCAGTAGCATGCGGGAGAAGTCTATGATTTCCTGGAAAGAGGCCAAGGAAGAAGGGCGATTTCTGGAAGCCCTGGCACATACTCATGACCAGAATGGCAGTGGTGTAAGTGTTTCACAAAAAAAAAAAAAAAAAAAAAAAA